TTGAACACTACATTGAGAAAGTACTGGAAAGACAAGGACAGAAGCAAGGAGAAGAGTTCAAGGGGTGTATTGCAAATACTCAGGCTCTAGCCATAGTGATGGCAGTGAAGTAGTGGGAGATGGTCATATTCTGGAAATATTTTGAATAGCCAATAGAATTTCCTGACACACTATGTGGGGTAAGGGATAAAGAAAGGAGCCAGGGTGACTATCAAGTCTTACTTGAATGGCATGGTGACTATCATCTAATCACCTGAGATAGAGATGAGTACAAGCATGGGGCATCGGGTTGGGAGATGAATTTAGTATTGGACATGTTAAACTGAAGATCTGTGAGATGTACAAGTGGATATGTCAGGTAGGCAATTGGATAGGTGAGTCAGGAGAGAACACAGAAATTGAGATACATGAGCACCCAGACCAGGTGGTGTTTAAAGTGATGGAACTGAATGATATGACTCAGGAACAGGTATAATATTAATAGAATAGAAAGAAGAGGAGGTGGGTCTAGAAGAGGAGACTGAGAAAATCCAACATGTGGGTCTTACAGCAACGTCTTGTATTTTCTTCTTTGTTTGTTTGCTTGTTTATGAGACAGGGTTTCACTATGTAGTTCAAGCTGGCCTTGAACTCACTATATAGCCCAGGCTGGCCTTGAACTTATAGTGATCCTCCTGTCTTAGCCTCCTGAGTGCTGGGATTACAGGCATATACCACGCCTGGCAACTGGGACAAAATACCTGACACCAATAACTTCGAGCAAAAACGTTTTATTTGCCTTATAGTTTCAATGGGTCTAGTCCACAGTTGGCTGGGTCCAAGGTAGAAATGGCATAGTGGAAGGGTAAGGCAGAGGAAAGCTGCTCTGCTCGTGGAAGTAGAGAGGCAAGGGAGAAGCCAGGGATAAGAACGTACCCTTGCAGGTCATGCTCTAAAGGAGGCCCCATCCCTAACAGTGCATTCAACTTTGAGCGCATAAGTGGATTAATCTACTGATGAGTACAGTGCCCCATGATCTAATTACTTTCCAAAAGCCCCATCTTGTCTATAGCCATACCACCCTGAACTCGCCCAATCTCATAAAAGCCCCACCTCTGGGCACATGAGCCCTGGGGGAGCATTTTATATCTAAATATAACATGCTGTAAGCTTGGATCTTAACAGTGAAGGACATTCCTCACCGCATGTCTTTGAGTGCTCTGATCACAGTAACTCTACCAACGGTTCCAATGCACTGTCATCCTTCACTGTGCTGTCACCACAGGACTGACTCAGGGGTCAGACAACTACTGCCACCTGTTTTTAGGCACAGACTTTCATTGCACATATCCACACCCATCTGTGTATGTATTGTCTACTGCAGCTTTACCTGTGATAGAGGCCATGTGTTCTACAAGCCCTAAACTATTCACTGCTTGATCCTTTAGAGAAAAGTGCAGTGAGCTGGAGATGAACTCAAGTGTTCAATGTCATTAAACACATATTTCCAGAACATTTAGGTCTTGACCTCACATAGAGAAAATATAATCAGAAGGTGACCAGATATCACTCTTGCATTATTCAAACTCTTCAAATGAAGCAAGTAACAACTATTATTCTCATTTCACAGATGATACAGTCAAGACACAGAGAAGTTGAATGACTTGTCTGAGGTCACTCAGCCAGAAGAGGAGAGGTCTGGGTTTGCAATCCATGATTTAAATGTAAAAACTCAAACTATAGTCAACACATCAATGGTTCCCAAAGAAATGCAAGGACAGTTTTGTGTACACACAGGTACAGATTGTCAAAAATTCTAATAATTTTATTTGTATGTACATTAGGTACAACCAGCACCTCAAATATGTATTACTACTTTAGACACAGTTAAAGTAAGCTATATCATTTGAAAAAATAACCTTAATTAAATATAATCATTACTTTAAAAGAGCCAGGAGGAGGCCAAATCTGATGATGTTATCAGATGAATTATGTCCCCTCTTAAACCTATCCATTGAAGCCCTGATTCCCAGCACCTCAGCATGTGAGTGAATTCAGAGATTGGCTCATTAAAGAGACAAATAAGTTAAAAGAGGATATTAAGATATCTTGGCTTTCAAGTTAGGTAAATAAAGTTCTGGTTTTTAAGCATCCCACTCTAGGGTATTTTGTTATGGCATTGTGAGCAAACTAATATAGCTGATAGGTAGATCATTGAAGTTTGGAAGATGCGTCACTTATCTGAACTATAGTCTCTTAATATTTAACTTGAAAATTAATATGAGCAATAGTTATTTTGTGTCAGTTCCTTTCTTTTCCAATTCTGTGTGTTCATTCTTGCATTCATTAATTCATTAATTCTTGCATTCATTAAAAATGATGAACGGTATATTTTGTGAGATTCAGGCAGAAAAGGTATAGAGACATACTCAGCTGTTGAAAGTCTTGTTGGGGAGAGATAAGGGCATCATTAGAACCTGGTCTGAGAAGAGCTCTTGCAGTTGTCTGACCTTGGGACAGGAGGATCCCACTGGGGAATGTGGCAGCATGGCTAACAATGGGAAGACAAACATTAGCCAGGTTAAAAGGGAAGTGCTTTTTAGGAAGGACAGATGTCACTGCCAAGCATCTGCACTTATCCAGCAGACTTGGTTCAGCAAGCGTGCTGTCCTATCATGGTGTCCTATCACAGTGGTGGCAGACCCAACCTCAGACAGAGGCTGGAGTTAGTGTTGATATCCTGGGTCCAGTGAATCCCCAGGTATTCTCCCCAAGCTGTTCTTGCCCTTGACTCCTCTCTGCAAGCCCACTGAGTGTAGCAAGCCTTGGTTCTTGATATACCATTCACTGGGATCGGATCTCACTCCCTGCCTGCCTTCACTTTGACCTGGACTTCTGAGCTCCACCCCAGTTGAATTATTGCACCTGTCTAACTCTGAGAACAGGCAGTGACTTGAAACCCCTGCTGCAGTGCATAAAACACAAGAGTCTCTCCATCTACAAAGCACTTACTCAAGGCAAGGCTTGATTCTAAGCATATATGCCTTATTGTCCTTCCTTCTTAGAACATCGTCCCATATGATTATTACCTCCGTATGGCAGTGCAGAATGCTGACTCTAAAGAGCTCAAGATATTACTTGAAAGCACAATAGTAGATCCAAGATTCATATTCCTATGCCAAGACCTGTGTGTTTAACCATTGTGTTACATGAAGAATCCACAAAACCAGTGGACACCACTGTTGACCCAGGTGGTAGGGCTTTGGGATTGTGAGGAGCAGTTCTAGAATGGATGGAAGCTCCAGTCTTCTCCGTTCCTGCTCTCCTCTCCTTTCCAATATCCTCACAGAGCTCCCAGCATGCCTCACTACCGAGCCTGAATGGGTAATGGCCATACTACCAGGAAAAGGGAGCTGGCTAAGGACTAGAAAGCAAGTGTCCAGATGAGGGCCTTGAGGAAGGAGAAATGTTCCAAATTATGACTCTGTTATCAGATAATACAAGATAACCTGTATTATCAGCTTTTATTTTCTATCTTTGCCAGTCTTTCATTGTTTTAAGTCCTAGGTTCAGAAATCTTGGCTTTCAAGTCTGGTAAGAAATCTCAAAATGCTCAGTGCCATGTGCAGATGTTGGGTCTTCCCCAAAAGATTCATCCTACCAAGGACAGCTGTTTCCCCTTAACTATTATTGTCCCAGAGGTAGGTATGGAGTAGGAAATGGGGACCCTATTGAGAAAAATATGGAACACAGACAAAGGGACAGCCTTGCCCCCAGCTGCTGACTCCATTTCAGGCATCTCCAACCTCAGGGCAATGAGGCCATTCCCAACCACGGCAGCCTCAGAGGGGTCCCAGTGTGGCTGAAGCCAGTAGATGAGGAATCCCCACACTGAGAGGAGATGTCATTGCGCTCTTAGGGAGGGTGGAGTTGTTGTGAACTGCCAAGGCATAATGCACAAGCCCTGTGGGTGGCATAATGTGGAATTTATCATCCCCACTCTGCAGAGAGGGCACAGACAGAACAATCCAGACTCTGTCAGCAGGCTCCTTCAGAGAGTTCAGGCCATTTTAACGAAGATGAATAAGAGGGAGATCTGTTCCTCATGGCTGCTGCCTCTGCCACTCAGAGCTAAGGCATCCATATTCATGAGGTGGGAGGACAGCTCCCAGGGGTGCCCCATCTGACACAGATATGACGGAGCAGAGGTACAGCAGCACTGATCCACACTTGGGCTGGATTGTGGGGTAAAAATATTCTGGGTGGTGAACTAGGGGACTCTAGGAAATACCTTAATTATATGGAATTCCCAAGGGGAAACCTTCTTTTGCCTGTTGCAGAATTACAACTGTTGGTCTGAACTCAGGACTCCTGAAGAACTTCCTTAGTTCCAGCTGAGTTCCAGAACCAAGCCCAAATGTACTGCTTCCTGATCATTTTCAGTCAACATAATTCTGATACTGTGCCCATTCTTGGCTTGGCCTCATGGATCCGCTGGAAGATCCACACAGTTGTGGATACACACGGAGGCTCAGAGAACAGGCTGTCTCATCTCTTCTTACCACAGGCTGTTTCCTAAACCTTCATTCATCTATCCCTTCCAGGATGCTCCATTAACTAGGCTGTCTTGGTAATAAATCTTTGCCTACCACAGACCTCCAGGACCCAGGAAAATGACTTTTATAGGAGATTATACTCTGTGCAGGGAAATCGGGACCAATTTGGGCATATGTACCGTGTTTCTTCAAAAGAGAGCAAATGTTGGCCAAGAATGCATACACATCATCACCTTGAAGCTAGTGGATTTGTTCTAGATTCATGAGTGTTTTGCTATTTCAAATGTCTTCAGCCTTGTTATAGCACACCCAGCTCTAGTCCCCAGGCAGAGTAACTGAAAGGATACACACTGAGCCAAATAAATCAAATCACCTCTCTGCAGCTGGCCTCCTGTAGTTTCTGTGGAGCCACAGGCTAGTATTTAGTTGCAAGACAAATGTCTAACAGAGCCAAAAGAGACTTACCTGCCTTTCTGACATGATGTAGAGTTGCTCTTGATCCTTGGAGAAGGCCATATCCCGAAGGACTGGACCATGATCTACCACCTGCACAGTCTCGTATTGGAGGGCATTGCCCCTGGGCCCATCCACTCGGATCTGCAGAGAAGAGGAAGGGGAAAGCCAATGTGAATTCAAATCCTGTACTGCCCACTTCAGAGGAGCACTGGGCAAAGGGTCAACCCCATGAGTTTCACACTAAGTAGTCTCTTTTCAGCCACTAAAAATACCACTTTATGCTTCAGGTTTTAACACAGATATCAGGCCCTGAAACCTCCGAGAGGTTCTATTCATGCCCACAGAGAAGCGGATGTGGGCATTACAGCAGAATGTACTTCTGGCACGAGTCACTCTCAATCTTCCAAGAACACTTAGGAGAGCAGCTCATCCTTGGGCCATTCATAAATCCTTCCTAGAACTGCTTGGACAGAATGCAGACAACTGGAAGACTTTTGTCCACACAACCCCTCACTGAGAACAGACCTGGAAAAGACAGGGGCTTCCCAACCTGACACAATGCTTATCTGGACCCAGGACCAGTCTCTAGAATCATCATGGGCTCCTGTGCACAGACCCAGCACAACCACAGCGCAGAACTTTTAGCACCATCCACATAAGATGGGAACAAATGCCACTGAGAAGGGGATTGGCTGAGAGCTGGAAGAGTGTTGAACTCAATCAGATGCCACCAGTACAGGAATCTGTAAGGTGACCCCGGTATAATTTTAGAGATCTGAATAACAAAACTAAAGAACACACTATAGAATTGTTCAGAAAAACTAAATTACTGATCACAATGGGTCACCAAGAAGTCTGATGGCTGGTGTTTTGTTAAGTTCATCAAACTCTGATACCAGGTTATTTTGTGGTTTATGTGTTTGATTTTAGGTTTGTTGCAGGCTTTAGTTTCTTTTTTTTTTTTTTTTTTTTTCCCCTTTTAAACATTATTTTTAAGCTTTCTAGATATAAGATGCTGGTTGATAACTCTGCACATGATTCTTTTTTTTTTCTCTTTACATAATTGTTACTGATCTACCCTCTTAATGCCATAGCTCTAGTGTTCTCTTGTCATGACTTGCAGGATCCCTCCAGCCTCCATTCTGTCTTTCACCTTCCAGGTGAGACTGAACCCTCTCTGCTTCCAAGGGTCATTCTTGATGAGCATACACAAATCAGTTTAATCCCACTCTTTTGTCACAGTGCTCAAGAGAAAATTGGCACAAGTTCATCAATAGGTTAGGTCAGAGCAAAACAAGGGCACGTGATAGGGGGAAGAAAGAATCTCTCCTCACCCTCCATAGGGTCAGAGAAGCATGTGCCTTAAATATCTGTTGGCAGCCCTCTTGTGAGAGAAAGGGGAGCTGGAGGCAGGGGAAGTGGAGCCCAGAGATGGTAAACGATTGGTTCTTGGTCTTTGGTATCTTCATCAAGCCACTGAATCCAAATCACCCTAAACCCTGCCAAGGCTGGGACTTCCCAGTTACTTAAGGCAGTTCCTTATTGTTAAATCAATGTAAATCTTACTGCCACATCAAAAGTCATAACTGACACACTGACAATAGTTAAGGAAAATGAGACCCAAGTACATTAGCAGTTGGCCTGAGCTAAAAACTCTGGTGCCATGATTACAATTCAGATTTGACTCTAAAGATCTTGCTCACTTAAGAGGTCTTGTTCCTGAGGGATTAGGGGATTCCAGATTTACTTCCTGATTGATGCCACCTAAAGCCTGGTGGCTGAGGCTTAAAAATAATTCCAGAGACTTTCTCTATGCATCCCTGATTTTAATGCTTAAAAATTTGGGCTTGACAAATATTTACTTTTAAAATGGAAAAAGAAACAAATGAAGACTCCTCCTTGCTGATTTCTTACTAATCTCATGAAAACAACAATGACAACAACAACAACAAAAATATGGGTAAAATAATTAAAGAGAGAGATGTATAATCCTGCAAATTAAAATGCCTTGATTCTCACAGTCCTCCTTCTATGCCTGCCCCTAAGTTACCAGATGTCCATCCTGGCCAGGCATTTTCTTAATCTGAATGAAATGGGAGTTCATGCAAAACCAATTGGGATTACCATCCAAGTCTGACTGTGCAGCAATGGCCTTGGCCCCAGGCCCAGGAAGGCTTCATCTGCAGCTGGGAGGTGCCTTGGAGTGGCAGCAGAGAGTGATACTGAGCCCTGGCTCGTCTCCAGCCATCTCAGGCCACTAGCAGGAGCAGGCTCCCATGAGGAATTCTGGTGGAACTAAGTCCCAACCACTGCCCTTGGTCTGATCCCCAAACGAAATAAGATTCAGTGCCCCAGTGGTCTTCTTCATCATTTAGCTCCAACTTCCGTGCTTCTTAGAACGAGATGAATGCCCTGGATGTAGTGGACATCAGTGGTGACCAGGGGCGGGGTCAGAGGGGTGGGTGAGGGAAGGGGAAGGGGAAGGAGACACCAATGGAAACATTTTTTCAGGCCTGGCCTTCGATATCCCCCACCTTCTGCTCTCTGCTAGAATATGAGTGCACTTGGAAAGACATTTCTTCCTCACCCCACCCCCAATCAGAGCTTTCCATAAAACAGAAAGGAAACCACTAATTTACTTATTTCCTGAAAGACTGTCTCATAAGACATAGCTAAAAGAAGTTTATGGTAGAATATGCTGAATGTGTGATAGATAATCCTAAAGTTTAGGTGGAATGGGCTGGCTCTTGGGCCTTTACATAGATAAATAACAAGAACTGCTCTTTACTGGGTAGCTACTATGTGTTAGGTATTTGTATCTTATAACTCCACAAAGTGGGAGTTAATATTGCCCCCAAGAGGTACAAGAGAGTTATAACTTGTTCAAGGTCCAACTTCTAATGAATGGCATGACCTAAATGCACACCAGAGTCTGAAGGATTCCAGTGTCCCTACTTCTATGGGTTTCCAGGCTGAGCCAAATGCTCCCCAAGAACCAGGTCCTCTTGGTGATATAAACCTGCCTCTTTCCATGGAGTTCAAGCAGCTTATGTTAAAACAAACATGATCCTGGGGGTGATGAAGGAACCATGTCCTTATCCACCAGAGCTCCTCAGGGAGAGGAATGCACATATAAATGAAGATGCTGTTGTAAATTTTCAAAGTAATGAGCCTTTATGTTTTTGTTTTATACCTTGCAATGCATCCTTAAATAACACTGTCTCATCTGATGGTTGTAAAGTTTGTATAGTGTTAACTGTCAGCATCATCATTCTCACTGTACTGATGAAGCAACTGAGATGGGAGCTGTTCTGAGCCTTGCCCAAAGTTCAATGGTAAACCAATGTCAGGCCAGGCTAGAGCCCAGCTCTCCTGATTGCTGGCTTCAATTTCCTGGTACCAGGAATTGAACTCAGGACCTTGTGTTTGCCGGGCAGGCACTGTGCAGCTGAACTAAATCCCCAGCCCCTTTAATGCTTTTTATAAATGATCCAGAGGAGGTAGCAGGAAAATTTGCAGCTGACTCTAAATCTTTGGGAGAGTAAGAAGCCAAACAATAGAGATGAACCACAGAAAGATGTTCTACCTTTGTGGGGCTGACAATGAGGAAGGAGCTGTCACAGGAGCAGAGAGCTCTGGGATTATAGCTCTCTTGGGGCATAGTTCACACCTGTTGTGCTCCTCATAGTTCCTAAGACATGGCCAGCACTAAGTAGTTGATGAGTAAACAAAAACTAACTAAATTCTACCATGGAGCTGCTAGATGATCAAGGCAAGAGGTAAGATCAGGGGATAAGACCTGATATCACCACTTTTTACTTCCAGTATTTCAGGGCACAGCAAATGAAATGTTGGCCAGCATTCCAATGGGATTTCAAAAGCAAACGGACCAACAGAGCCATCACCCTATCCAAGTTCCTTTGAACATGAAATATCACATTCATTCCAACCTCATAAGACAGAGACATAATCCAAATGCTTGTAACTCTAGAACAGCCTGAGCCATAAGGAAAAGATTGAGATGGAAGGAAACCATTGGTGGTGGCTGTGTCAGTCATAAATGTAGAGGCCACCCCAAGCAGCATGCAACAGCAGCTTACATGAAGATTTGTTAGTTTGCATGGTATATATGACACGTGTGGATCACCTACGCAGTGAGAAAGGACCACAACAAAAATGGATGTTTTTTAAAAGTAGAAACTGTAACGAGACCAGTTGCGGGTCATGAACGTAAATCGGGCTGTTTGGAAGGTGTTGTAAATTTCTGAAGTTGACACCCAGGAGGAAACCACATCCCAATATCCCAGGAGGAGTAACACACACACCTCATACTCACCGTCACCTGCCACGCATTTGCTGAATGCTTGCTGTTTCTGGGCTCAGAGCGAGTTTCTGGAGAGGAAATGTGGGGAGTGTTGGCCCTGCCTTGCGGGTGGCCTGGATCTTGAGGTCTCAGATTTCACACCATTAAAGCCGAGTGACAGATATTATGGCAGAAGGTGTTCACAGGCTTTTATTTCTTCTTCCTGAGAGGTCTGGCCAACTGGCCGGTGTATAACAGGGATGATCAGCGCCACCCAAGCGAGGCCAGCAAGTAGCCAGCATGTGTGTGGCAAAGACAGGGCTACCAACACAGCGGGACTGATTATGAGAGTTTGACTGAAAGCACACACAGTGTGTAATAGTAGATTTACTCAAAAGCCACCGTGGGAGACAAAATCTCCTAGGTCAGTAAAAAGACTGATCCAAAGTAGCAAAATTAATGGTGATTACATAACATCCTAAAAGGAAGGTAAATTAAGAATATGACAAAAAAAGATGACAAGTAGAAAAATATGGTCGTCTTCCTTCAGCTCTCTCCTGAGGAGAGAGAGTGAATGGGGCAGACCAAAGTGCCAATGTGTTCTCTGTGATAAGCAAGAAGTGGTGATGTTGTAGGACTCACTTGAACAACAATGGAATACTTTTGACCCATTGATGGACAACAGAAATATGTGAGCCACGAAGTTGGGCCGCATTTGTCATTTAAAATTTGGACACATTAAAAAAATAGACATATTAAAAAAGATACTGGTAAAATTAATTTTCAAAATATATTTTATCTAACCTGATATGTCCCAAATATGATCATATTAACATGT